CCAAAAAACAACTGTGTGTGCACACATACATAATATTACCTATTAATTAGAATACTACAATTATGTAAACAACACAAATTACTTTTGCAATATTAATCTTTTTGGACACTCAAGGAAAAGGTGGAAAATATAGTGTGTTGATCACCCTTTTACTCACAAAATGCAACTCAACTGACATTGAAGTCAACTCCCTTTTTCTTTCAATTCTATAAACAATATGACACTACCATCTTCATGTTTTCCTGCACACACACACACACACACACACAAAAAAAAATGAATCATATGCAAGCCACCTGCTGAGCCACCACAGTGAAGTTCCAAGTTCACTGGAAAGAAAGGTATGAAAGGCTTTAAAAGATTTGTGGTATTGCTCATAGACAATCCATGAAAAGCAGGTCTGATCCCTACACGGAGTGACACAGTGTCTGATGCACACAGACACAGTGTCTGATGCACACTAAGCTTAAGCAAATGTGGGCTGGATATGATGCATGAGTCGGTTTTCCACAGCAAACAACTTACCTGCTGGTTGAAATGCTCTTTTAATGTGAATAATGGAAAACTATCACTTGAAAAACAAGAACATATTATGTTTTAGAAATACCGAATCAAATTCTGATATTTTTCAAAATTCTATGTATGTTTAGGTTATAACTACTTATGTCCACATATATAATAAGACACCAAAGGAGATCAGCAAATTGCTTAAGTTGCCAAAACCACATTTCACTTTATCCATATTAAAAGTTATAGTTTGAAAATATTAGGAAATGAGATGTAAATTAAGAACAGGTTACTGTCATGGAAATTTGCTTCTGTATTGAAAAATAGGGAAAAGAAGTGAAATTTCATATAGATATTTTAGATAATGATCTTCCAGATAATATATAAATGAAATAGTAGTTTGATGTTAGCACAATGTTTAAAATTATTTTTAAAATTCCTAAATGCATTGTCATTTCTTATGAATTTACACTCCTAAAAGAAAATATCAAATTTGAATATAATACATAATTGGCATTTTAAAATGTTTTTGAAAAAAACAATGTGTAGGTCCTTACTATTATCAAGGGTGGAGAAATACTAGAAAGCTGTCTAAGCAGCCAGGTTTCTTTGAAGAAAAAAGTGATAACTTTTTACCTATTTTCAAGATGAAGCACTTGCTTTATATTCTGGCTTTATGTGTATTTATTACACTAAAATTAGTGAAACCATGAAAAAGACAATAAAGGTGGATTTTATTTGAGCCACAGAAGTTTATCTTTCCAAAATGCTTTTCTTTAAATTATATCCATTTCAGCCTACCTAATGCCCATTGAAATGCCAATGCAAATAGCTACATATATACCTATGCCTAATAACAACAAATTTAACATTATGTCACTACTTATATGGAAAAATGTGTCTAATGTTGCATATTTTAAGCATATACCTGTGGATTAATAAATATTGTTAGGTGGTTAAGCTAGTGAAAACAAGTTAAAGACCTGAACAAAGGATTTACTAATGTTCATTGTTTTAGGTTTTATATTTAATATTTTATCTCATTTAATCATAAGGCACATTTTCTTGTGTGTAGAATAACTATGTCATTTTTGATGAGTGAGATAGACCCATTCCGGTACCACAATATACAGAAATGTCTTTTCTACCATCTTTTAAATACAAAATTATCTACTAACAGAAATATTTTTATAATAAGTATTAAATCCTCAAAAGTACTGTTCTTTTATGAGATTTTATGGTTAGTTCCTGTAGATATCTCTAATGCTTAATTATATATTTACACCATTATACAGTTTATATTAAAATCTCCATGTAGTAAAGGGTTTTCAACCAATTATTGTTGACTGGCATCTGGATATGACTGAGATAAAAGTTTAATATGAACAATATATATATATATATATATATGACACTTTAAAAATGAATTTACAAATATATTCTAAAATTAAGGACAGATTTAAATTAACATTACAATACTGACTATCATACATGTAATCCTGAATATGTGTCTTAATATATGTTCCAAGGAATTATTTATATAAAAAAAAGAACAACTGTTTTTGAAAACTACATTTTAAAACACTAAAATAACATTTGCATTCTATAATATGAAAACAATATATTACCCAATTAAACACAAACCAATATACATTAGGTGGTTGCTACCACATCACATATTTATTTCACATTTTATTGGAACACATATTTCCAAAAGAAACATCTAGCACAGAGAAAGAATTGTATAAAAATTTCTTTTTCTGAAAAAAAAAATTCAAATTATTTTTGTGTTAATTATTAGAATACTTTAACAACTATTTTAATACAGGATAATGTTATAGCAGAATATTTGTTAAACCAAAGAACAAAAAATTAGATATTTAAAATACTACATTATTTATGTTTAATAACAATAAAACTTAAGCTCTTCATACTATAGTAAATACTCTACAAAAAAACTTTGAATTACTAATTATAATTCAGGTCCAACTCCAATTAGTGCCTAATTAATTTTATAGTGTGTTAACAGCATGTTCTCCCTCTTTTGATGATAAAACCTTCTCATATTACGTTTTCTCTGAAATATAAAATTGTTAAGAATTTACTAATATTTCCAGAGAAATTTACAAAGAGAAGCATAATCATTGCTACAATCTTTGTTTTCAGTTTTTACAAATCTGAATTTTTTCCAAAAGATTGGAGATTTATCCTGATAAACACTGCATATGATATATTTTTATATCTTTTTATGCATGAAAAGCAATTGGCACCACATCTTGATGAAATTAATATTACATTTTTTTTAATTTCATAAAGTTTATTCTGAAATCAAACATGAAGTAAAAATGTCAACTATTATTTCTCCTTTCCTCAGAAGATGATGTTACTGACTTTCAAATAAATAATTGCAGATGTAGAAGCCTTCCAAAATATTAATATTACTAATAGCAGAGTGGCTCGCAGCTACAAAATCTGTTCTCAGTTCAGGAAATAATGCTTCATACAATCTAAATATATCTATACTTTCATTGTTCAATGATATTCAAATCTTTTCAAAGAAAATAAATTGTGGTGCCCTAATTCTAATTTTTTCCCACTATTTAATCTCTTTCTTGTCCCTAGTAAGTTTCTGATAGTAAAAATTGAGTTATTTTAACTTTAGGAAAGCATTTACTGCAAATATTCTACTTACAATAAGGATTTTACATTAATATTTTATCACAGTATGTTCAGGAGTAAAAGGTTTATTTGTTGTACTTTGAAAAGCCATCATTTTCCCCAATGTGATGATGCATTCCCCCCAAGGGATAGAAATATGGATAAATTGTCAGTTTCAAATAATACTTTTAAAACGTATGATCTCTAACACGTTTAGAATGTAACTCTTTTTAAAAGTCACTATTTATTTGACACAAAATGCAAACGAGTCACTTGAGTTCTCACTTAATAGGCCAAGCTACAAAAAGACTAAAAAATTTTAAATACAAATATGATTTCTTAATAAAAGTGAAGGATTTTGAAGCATTTTTAAGGAAATTCTTACACTTCTTATGTTTTTTTTAAAAAATGTAGTTGTAACATTCTGCCAATTAAATGAAGATCTGCCGATGACATTTACCCTCTCCCTTCATAACAAAAAAGATATGCAATCATTTTTATGGACGATTATCTAAAGAGGAACATTACTGTAAATCAATGACAAAAAAATATTAGACACTCTCCTTCTCCAGGTTAGACTGTCCATCCTCTAGATTTCTGCACTAACACCAAAGGTAATAAATACTTTAAGCTGAATTTTAAATAATAGCTTCAGGGTTTCAGCCCGTAAAGATGCACTGTTGGTAACCACCAAAAACTCCACTATTCAGCACTCAGCCAACAAAGGACAGCAAATAATTCCCAGCAGCATAAATACCGGGAAGGCTACCTTGGGCTTTGTTTTTGTTATGTAAAATGCATTAAAGTGACTCATCCACTTAAGATTACCTACTCTTAGAAGCTTTAAAGTAGCTTCAAGAACCAAAATAAATGCTTTCCCAGAATGCTTGATAGGCTATTCAGAGCATTTAAAAATATGTATATATTTATATGTGCCCCCTGAATTTGATACTTTATTGCATCCTAAGAGAGAAGAGAATTGTTATATTTCACTCCCTTCCTGCCGTGTGACTATAGTTACCTTTCAACACTCTGTCTCCAGAATAGCAACGAGTTTTTTTTTTATTTAAAAGTTATTTTAGAAATGTTAAAAATAGGGGGAAAATGCAGAAGACTGTGGAAACAGTCCCTCCCTAAAAGAATGGGAGTTCTTTTCATTCTAAGAACAGGAAACCGAGTATCAGTGAGCACTTAGATGTTTCCAATGAAGGGTCAGGGAGGTTGGATTGCACAGCCCCAGTACCTGTGAGCCCCGGGGTGGACAGCACGCTCTCCTGCGGGGAGCAAGCACACCTCGGATCTGAAAGGCTGTCAAGTGCGCCCAGGAATTTGGGATCTAAATGAGTTTGGGCAATTGGAGATCATCCCAGAGGCCAAGCGCAGGAGAAGTCCAAGCTACGCTGGCAAGCCGGAAATTTACTATTTGTAAAATACTCAACCAAAACACAACTTTTTTATTTAACTGGGTTTGATGAGAGCGGATGAATGACTGGAAACTTTTCTCCCAGTCCAGTTAAACTCTTGAGTTTCTAGAATCCTTTTAGAGATGGACTAAGACGCCAGGAGTAGGCGGCCAACGTTTCTCGGGACAGCTCGGCCCCCGGCGCCCGGCCGCGCTCAGGGTCGGGAGACGCCAGTTCGGAGCGCATTCCAGCCGCAAGCCGCGCACTCAGCCGGCTCACTCGGCCTCTCCAGATCCGAGCCCCGCTCGCCAGCCGTTCGCTCCCCACCCCCACGGGCAGAAAAGCTCCGTGACTCGGGAACCGACCCCAGCCTTCAGCTCCCGCGGCATCACCCGGGCCGCTCTCCCCGCCCTGCCGGGCCCGCCGACTTACGTGACGGCCGAAGGGAACGGCTCCTCGGACGAGGGACCGATCAGCAAAGATTGGAAAAGTGTCAGAGTCAAGGCCAGCAGGCAGCCAGCAGCCATCTTCGCGATCGAAGATCAATCCCCCCTCCCTCCCCAGCTGGGGGAAGGAGCGGTGCTGGAAACCGCGGGCGGCGGAAAAGGAGCACGCTCTCGCAGACCGCCGACGTCTGGAGGGCCGGCGCACACGGGGCCCGCGGCGTGGAGTGGCGCGGGGGACCGCTAGCACGAAGCCGGGTGCCGGGGAAGGGGCGGTGGCGGGAGGACCCACTAGCGTGTCTCGGCTGCTCAGCGCCGCGGCTGCCTCGCCTCCCTCTCCTCCGCCGCCATCAAGGGCGACTTTGGAAACAGTCCTCGGCAAGCTTGCTGGCGCTCGCGCGCTCTCGCTCTCCCTCTCGGTTTCCTCCCTGATTTATTCCCCTGATTGTCGAGGCAAAGGAGGAGGCGGGGGCGGGGGCGGGGGCGGAGGAGGGGTGACGGCGCTGGGGAGGGGTGGGGGTGAATGCAGGAATGGGGGAATGGCAGGCAGGCTGGGAGACTTGTGGAAGAGAGAGGCTCCGTCTGGCTTCTCCCGGCAAGTCAGAGGGAGGTGGCTGGGGGTGGGCAGCGGGAGGGCTGGGCGTCAGAGCAGTCGGGCGGAGACGGGCCGGGAGCAGCCCTCCATACAAGGCAGAAAGGAACTCCCAAAGTCGGCGTGGGTTTCCTCCCGCCGCCCGGCGTGCAGAGGGGGAGCGGACCCAGCCCCGTGGGGCTCCCGGGGGACAACCAGCCGCCCGGCGAGCAGCCACAGGCTGCAGAGGCTCCAGCTGAGCACTTGGCTCGCGTCTTCCGGGCTTATTTTTGCACGCGCTAGCAGCATTCCCCCAACCCTTTTCCCAGGCGCAGAATCCACTGCCTGCCTAGGAATCGTGAAGTGATTTGACAACAAATGTAGGAGGGGTTTGTGTTGCATTTTTAAAGCACCACTATTGACTTTCTACCAGGTGGCACTATTTGCCCGTGTGCCAGAGGTTAGAGCCTTTGGCGGGACTTGGTACTAATTGTGCCAGAATTATACGAATGGGATCAGTTTACCTGATGAGGGCCGAGCTAGGGACAGTTAAAGGAGGATATGTTGCTATGCAATCCCCCCCCCACACACACACACAGTCCTGCGGTTCTGTAGGACAGACTGTAGAGGGTCGGATTCTTCATCTAGAGTGGACAGTGCTGTGAGAAGGGCTTTGTAGGGTCCTAATGAAACTGCCTCCAAAAGAGTCCCACTGGGCTGTCACAGCCCCTGTGCTGCCTTGCCTTTCTAGGTTGTCGCAGAGTACAGTCACTGTGTCAATGTGAAGGCAGAGAAAGGGTAAGCCTCAGGAACAGGTGGCACTCTGCAAAAAAGCGCCTGAAATGTGGAGGAGGAATTAAGGGAGGGGAGAGTGCTAGAGAGTAGCAATGCAGGCTGGTTTTACCTCCACCCTCCGGAGTAGCGATGGCAGGTCCTGCGCAGGCCTTCTGGGAAGAACAGAGGGGTCTTCCTTAGACCTCTCCTGCCCAGTACTGGTCCCATTCCAGGAGGCACCAGGTGGGCAAAGGGTAGAAATCCAACAGTTCTCATATGAGAACGCTTTTGACATGAAGCACAGATTATACAATACCTGGAAAGAAAAAATGACCATCCTGAAAATTCGAAAAATCAGTAATTATCGGGGTGACTTTAATTAGCTAATATTTTAATTAGCCCCTCCCTTGTTCTAGAAAGAGCTTATAAAAGGAATACTGTCCCTTATTAATTCGAAAGTAATTTTTCAGCTCTCCGAAAGCAACCTGTCAAAATGAAGGATGGTGGTGATGATGATGATGATGATGATGATGATGATGACAGTGATGAGTATTATTACTGGCCAAATTTTAAACGCATTTGTGATTTTATGATCTTGGCCCCAGGATTTTTTCCCCTTCCCCTTTATCCATCCTTTTGTCATGCCTTATTTGTTTTCTTTATATCCTCTGCATCTCTATCTTGCTCTTTGTTTCTTTCTTCCTACTCTGAGTGGCCTCACAAAAGGCACCCTGGTGCGACTTAACTTAGTTTGTTTTGTGCTAGGCAGAGGGAGTGTGGCAGCAGGAGCTGCACCAAAGAGGATGAAGTGGGATGTAATGGGATTGAGTGCTGGAGCTGGTAAAGGACATTGTATAAGACTGAAGGTGGCTTTCCACTCCAAAATTAGACAACCAAATAATCAAATCTATCATTTTTTTCAATTTTTAATGATTCAAAAGCAGATTTTCTTCCCCAGCATGAGTATTAAGAAGAAGAAAATTAGATGCCTATTATTGTCTACTTGATATGTTGGTATTATAATTGGCTCAGTACATAAAAATATCATTATAATATATTCTGTCAATTATTTTATTAATGACTCCAGACTTCCTACTATGGTACACCATTTCCAATTTCAAATCTTTAGGAGAAAGGGCTTAAAGAATAAAAGAATGTAATAAACTTCTGTGGAAGGTAAGTCAGGCTTTATTATTAACATTTTTGGCCTTTGAGCCAAATCTCAATTTCTTTGGATCACTCTGATGAAGCACTGTATTCTTCAATATCTGAAGCCATAGAACAAAGATATTGCTTCTACAATTCTTATTGAAAGAGATGGTTCTCAACTGTAAGCCTAAATCATTGTTTAATATTCTGTAGTGAGGTTTGCTATTAATTACTTTTTATAAATCTAAATCTTTCTAATGGGAATATTCAGAATGTGGTTTTTATTTCTTATGTATGATAGCTAAAACAACGCCATTCCCACAACATAGCATTATGTTTCTATTGGATTAATTTAGCCTTCTACAATGCCTTTTTTTTTTAGCTCAGTTATTTTGGGAAAATTCATGAAAATCATATTCCATTAATGTTAATAAAATTTTGCTAAAACACAAGATTTGCCATTCAAAATAAAATGTTTAAAAATGATAAAGATTGATGATTTTTAAAAAATCTTGTTGTATTATGAGCTATAAATGAGCAAGAAGTCACAAATCAATACCTAGGATCCATTTAAGAGAAAATGTTTTAATTAGAATATAAATGAGTAAAGTATTGCTAGAGATTTTTATATTTCATCATTTCTAGATGAAGTTAAATATTTAATTCATGCAAAACATTATGTTTTGCTTAGAATAAATTTATGATGTGTAATTTTTGGCTAATTCTCAATTATTATTTTATACAAATGAAAGCCAAATTTAAAGATAAATGGACAGAAAGCTTCAACTGTCTAATCTCCTTAGGGAATACATTTAGAAGATGGGAATATGAAACAACTCAGAAGTATTAGTTCCCAGGAGAATTGTTAAAGGGACATGTAGTGATTTTTAAACTAGAGTTTATTTTTGCCATTTTTAAAGTAAAGCAGCACATAGAGGCCTTCATTAAAAAAAAATGGAAAAGAAACTATTCTAAATTAAGAAACCTAATCAAATATTTTCCACAAACAAGACAACTATTTAGGAGATATGTTTCCTTCGCCCAAGATATATACCTATTGACACATATGACAGTAAACTTTTGTGGAAATAATACTTTTCTAAATGGACAAAGCTACATTAAACAAGTATTTATTTTTAATTGTTTTTTGTTGTAGATAGACACAATACCTTTATTATTTTATTATTTTTTATGTGATGTTGAAGATCAAATCCAGGGCCTCTGCTAGGCAAGCACTTTACCACTGAGCCACAACCCCAGCTCTAACAAGTATTTATTGAAGTTTAATATTTGCCCAACAGAGGCCTATATTGGCAAACTTATGTTGGTTACATATTTTGACAGATTAACTGTTATATTTTAAAATATCCTCATTTCTTCAACCAATCAATAGGTTTTATGTTATTCTACTTTGAATCTTTGCTAACCATCGAATATTTTATTCAATTTTTTATTGTTTTATTTTTGCTCTTCCTCTTTCTCTCCCCCTTAAACACAAACACATCTCTGGAAAAAGAAGGAAAGGAAAGAAAGAAGGGAGGGAGGGAAATAAATCAGGGCTTATAACATGACTTTTAATTTAAAAACAAAATTTGACTCTAAAATCTTGATTTCATAATAAGATTCTTCTTCAAAGAGGTGGAGTTGTTTTGTTTTAACTGTAAGTTATAACACAAAGTCATACAGACTCCATTTACTTAGGCCTACATAGACAACAAGCAGTAGAAAACTCAGTAGTTTATGAAAATATTCACAAGCAACAAAAATTCACTGGTCAGTGGTAAGAGATAATAATAAAAACTAAAATAATCAAAACTAATAACTGCTGGCACTCTTTCCAGTGTGTTGAATCTTATGGCTACAGCCTTCCATGAAGAAGAAAGATCATCTATTAATATCATTCTTCTGATGCTAGGTTTTTTACATTCTCTAAACATAGTAAAACACCATTATAACTTAGTTATCTCTATTAAAATGTGGGCATGTTTGGATCAAATTCACTTTAGCATAATCTCATTCAGTAAGTATATCACACTCACTCAATCTCATACAAGGTTGTCTGTAGAAGCACCACAAAATAATGTTGCTAGGAGTTTTTCCCTCTTCAGTAATAAGCATGGGAAAGAAAATAAGAGAGCAAACATTTTCCTTTTGTTGCCACATATTTTAGATTTATATGTTTAAAATATCACTCTTTATTACAAAGAATTTATGACCATCTGAACATACAGGGAAAGAGTTAAAATGTCATATTCCATTGATAGATGAGTAAAATAGAGATCATGTATTGTCATTTATAACAGATGGGAGATGTAAACTTTTAAGTTTCACATTTGGAAACATTTGAAAATCAATATAGAGCAAATAGTGTCTGGCAATAGTATGTTATTCAATATGTACAGCTTGGGAGGGTCTAATTCCTAAGGGTTCCTGATAATTTGCCAAGAGATTGTGATGCCTAAGTAATAGAAAGGTACTAATGCTATCTGATGCTGTATCATGATTATATCATCAAATTAATAGTATGTAAACATTGCATATCTTTAAAACTAAGAACAGGATTTAAACTATTCTGTTGTAAAATAGCTTATATTGTCTACAATTGGAATTTACACATATTGATTTTCTTTTTCTTATTCACATGTCTTTATATTTTTCACTAGGTTGGCCCATTCTTTCTGATTCTCTCAATGTCCATAGCTATCGAGAAGAATTGATTTAATACATTTGCCAAACTCAGTGAAGATGGTCCAAGGATAAACAGTAAGACTTTCAAGTTGAGAGTATTTATCACTTGAATGCTGCTGCAAGTTTTTCTGTTACACAGAGATGAATGTATCTTTGGCAAGTTGTCATTTATTTTTGTGAAACATTTTATATTGTCAGAATACTTGCAGATTAATTTTTAGTTTAAATGAAACAACCAAATGCATAACTTTAAAACATTAATTAGCTTTGAAATGAATATTTTTGTGTGTAT